GCTTGGGGTCAGAGCGCAGGATCAGCCATTTATACAGCGCCCCTGGAGCAGTTGGGGTTAAGGGCTTTGCTCAGGGGCCCAACAGAGTAGGATTCCTCTGCCGGCCATGGGATAGGAACTGGCAACCTTCCAGCCACAAGTGCAGATCCTTAGCCACAGAGCCACTGCACTGCCCCATTAAGCTGAGATAGAAACCTTAAATTTTGTATGTTGTGCTTCTTGGGCATCCTATACAAGTATAACCACAGAACAGATAGCTCATTCTTTGTGCATATTACTCTATATAGTAAGTGTATACTGTAATGTGTATTCTGTACAATGATGGATTCAAAAGAGCTGAGGTTAACACCGAGAGCAATATAAGAGACCAGTAGTCTTTCAGCATCTTAAACATTACTTTAACTACAGTATCCGGATTATTATGCGTTTCTGCTTTGTGTTTCAGATTTAGACCAAAATGCATGTTGAAAAATAAACAGGATTCTAGAAAATTCTAGATTCTGAGATCTTGATTAGTTGTCCCTGTTTCATGAAAAAAGGATAATTTTTCAAATCACTTTTGTAGCTTTCTACTAAACACAGAGCTACAGTATAAATTATAGTTATCCTTCTTGACCCATAAGGTACCATAGATTTTGAAAACCCCATGAGACAGCAATGTGTTTAGCAGGAGCTGCTGCCCTCTGCTGCCCATTGCATGCTAGTTGAATTTTTATTGAAGGAATCTGAACATATTTGTCTTTGCTTAGAAGAGAAAGGTTTTAATGATTAATGAGCAGTATAGCCTTATAACAGAGATTCTCTGCACCATGTCTGAAATGCAAAACAGCTAAACATTACAAGTGGTAAATCCATTATGGTCTAAATCTGAGAGAAAAGGCAGAAATACATAGTATTATGTACAGTACTGTACCTGTAGGTAACTGGAGTCAAAACAAATGAACAATACTAAAATAATATAATATAATTAAGTAAAAAGTACTTAACAATACATAAAAAGCATGTTTCACAATAAAAGAAAATTACAAAGCCAGGACAAAAAGCAGATACAAAAGCTAAAACATTCACAAAATTATGTTTTCAGATTAGACATTGTGTTGTGACCAGAAACATCATCATCATCGTAATAATAACAACTTTATTTTATATAGCATGTTCTCAGATCGCTTATCGGGAAAAAGTAAAAAAAATTAAGAGAACTAAAAGATTGTCAATGGTAGAAGATAAAATTTAGAACAAAGAAACTGAAAGGTTTGGATGCACTAGAAGATCAATGGGGCAGACACAGAAATCAATTAAATAAAAGCCTTTCTGAAGAAGAAGGTTTTGAGTGTGGATTCAAAAGCCCTCAAGGAAGATGACTCTCTGGTATTATTGGGGTTACAATTCCAGAGCTTTGGAGCATAGTAAGACACTTGCTATGGGTGACCAGGAGACCAGAGTTAGATGGACAAAGGCTACAAGGTAGGGAGTATGAAGATAAGAAGTCAGACAGGTACTGAGGTACCAAGCCATGTAGAGCCTTACATGTGAGCATGAGGGTTCTGAAGTCGACACAAAACCTGACAGGAAGCCGATGAAAGGATTCCAGGACAGAATAATGTGGCCACTTGCACGCAACCTGGTCAGGAGTCTAGCTGCTGAATTCTTGATAGACTGAAGTGTGTTCAGAGTGGATTTCAATACCCCAGGGAGTAGGCTGCTGCAGTAATTAATTCTAGAGAAGGCAAATGTGTTGGCCAGCTTTTCAGCTACAGTCAGAGACAACATACTATAGGATGTAGTCTGGCAAACTTTCTGAGATGGAAGAGTGATGTTCTTACAATATTTTGCACATGCGGGTCAAATGTTAAGCCTGGATATCAACATTATCTGTCAATAACATTACGTCAGGTTTACCACATTTAGGATGCAAAGAATGTTGTCATCAAACATTTCTATCAGAATTGCAGTGAAAGAGCTACGGTACCTTGGTGTTAGGTACAATATAGTGTGGACATTGATACCAGTATTATCTGCTTGGTAATGATAATTCAGACCATATAATTTTAGAGTTTAACCAATAAGAAGCAGATAAATACTAAATAGCACAGAGACTAATGAGTGCTGTGGAGATCAAATGTAACCAACCCAGTCCCAGAACTAAAACTTGACTGTAGTTTTTTAGCTGGGACATTCAAAAACATAGATGGAAAATAAGATCAAATGTCTCCCAACAGTGTTTTTTTATAATATCTTTCTGCCAGAGAAAAACTGAATTACAGCCCAGGTTGCCGAGAACAACTTTCAGCTGTGGCCTGTCAATGCATTTACAAGAGAAATTAATAATAATTGGGGATGATTTCCAAGTCCAAACACTACCAGTAAAATGATTTCTACAGTCAGTGTTGACACTGAATTAAGAAATACGCTGTTTATGATTTAGAATTGTAAAAAAGAAACTACAGTAACTTGGAACTTGATGACATTCTCAAGTAATTTCTAAGCTCACAAGGCAGGTCTCTATATATTACAACATAAGAATGCATTTATAGACAGTTTAGTATTACATGACGTCCTTCTGAAGGAATTCTTATTTGTCTGTAGAATACTTCTATAGGACAAAATTGGAAATCTTGTTGGGTTTTTTGCATGTCATAGTGTAAATAAGCCATAATAAACTAATTAATAAATCTATAGAAACTGATCCTGTAAGTCCATGAGCACATTTTGGAGAACAAAAGGGAAACACTAAATGTATCAATTAGTAGTTTCACAAAACAACAAACACTACCTGTGGAAACCTTACCACCATCATTAAAATTCAGGAACTCTCATATTGTGTCCTAGTTTTGATGAGTCAATATATTAGAACCGCTACCGAGAAAGGGGTCAAGTCTATAATAATTACCTAAGAGTATACTACTATTGTTCAATTGTTTCAATTAGAACTGCCAGCTTGTATTCCTGTTTTGCCCTCCCCATTTACACCCAGAATGGCAATACGTTACACACAGAGAACCCAAGTAAATTTTGTTAAGGTAAAATCGAAGAATTACATTCTTTACCACACACTGGGAGTGAAATAAAACTGATTAATTTCTTAGGAAGCCTACCCATTCATTTTTGTTTTCATTTTCTCCAGATCTAATAGTCAAATTTATTTTCCTAATAAATTAATGCCTGTATCCAATAATGTTGTTAGAATGAGTTTCATGAAGGTCCAAGTTCAGCTTTCAGAAGACTGTTCTTGTACTCCTAATTTATATTGCTTTTTTAAATTTGGTTTTAATTCTATTAGATTCTATTTACAAATATTATATGAAATAACAACAACCAATCTGATTTTTAAAAAAGATTACATCTTTATAAATATTTGAAAACTCTTATATTTCATGAGGCTTGCTAGTATACAGTATGTATTCCATCAAATGGGACTTGATAATTGAATGATTTCATGCTATTTAAATTAAAATCAAATCTTATGTAAATTTAAACAAAGTTTGACATATAATATAACAGACAGAAAATACAAAAATGAACACTTCATTACATACTGAAAGTGACTTGTGCATTTTAAGGAAAAAAATAAACAAAGTATTTATTTAATGCAACTGTATATGGACATTTAATGGTGTACAAAAAGCATCTGTTAAAAATCTTTAAGTTGTACAGCTGAAATACCATTTACAAAGCTAAGCAGTAATTGCTAGTAACTACTGAAAAATAAAAACACGTTTTAGACATTTGGTCTATTCTCAATTAATGTTCTTTGTCAATGGTCTGAAAGTCTTGGAGTGCTAGTCACTTTCTAATCACACAAACCAACAGCTACTATGTACAGTATTACTTGTCTGTGTAATTTTTTAAAGCTTGGATGCCTATATGACATTTGTGCTGCATTGGATGAAAAAGAAAAGAACACTTATGTGGTGAGAATGCACATGAAAAAAACATATTTGTTCATTCTCTCGGGAGAATCTCCAAATCTCCTGCGAAATTGCTATAAATCTCCCAGTTGTCCTGTCTCCTAGTTTGAGAAATTCTTTACCGAACCTACAGTAAGCAGGAGGCAAAGTAGGAAGTTAAATAGCAGAAGGTAGTGAGGGAAGAAAGGCCTCAGAGATGACCTAAACTCCAGATATAGCACAGAGACATCTGGCTAAGGTGTAATGAAAAGTGCTTCATAGCATAAAAGAAAAAAAAATAGCACAGCCCAGTTCGAAGTCAGTGTCATGCTAAAACATATGCACAGTGACAAATTCAGGAAAGACCAAAAGTGAATCTGTTGAACTACAGAATGCAGAGCTCTCAATTTTGTTAAATTCTGGTATAGGTCTGTGGCACCAGGTCTAAAGATGTTTTATTCACAGTTGATATTTTCAGGGTACTGAAACTGCCATAAAGGACTCGGGATCCAAGACAGAAAAACATCAAATTTCCTGTTTATGTTAATTGGGTGTATCAGTTTAATAAAAGAACTCAGAACAAAAAATCTGCATTGTATCTATTCTGTTATTATCTGAATCTTAGAATTGCATTTTGCATCACAAAAAATAGTAAATTTATTCTGAACATTTCCACATAAATAACAACAATATTTATGGCATTTAAATAAAATGTATTGTCAATATGAGACCCTCTCCAGTTTTAAAACATCTGCTTGTGTCTTTGTTTTTACTTATTTCAAATAACATTAATTGATTGATATTATTTTGGAATCTTTTAGATAACCAAAACAGTTATATTCCATGTGTAGTTTATATCAGTATATATTAGTTGTAGTTTGTTTATAACCTAAATCAATACTTAGATGCATCTACTGTATTTATGTGAACACATACAGTAAGGTACAAATACTGTACACCCACACCGATAAATACATGTTTGTACAGCCTCGCACTTAAACATGAATTGAAAAAAAACTTCACGCAAATGTCAGCTCAACCACAACTGCACAACAGTTTTTTTCCAGCAAGTTATAATCCAATATTTAGTTAAACCGACTGTTAGTGACTTACTTTCTCTCTGTACCTCCTTCACAGCTGCAGTCAGCTCATCCTTCAATACCACAGTCTCCTTTGCTATCATTTCCCCCTTATCAATTAAATTTAAAGTAGCTTCTTCCACTGACTTCAACAGCACCTTGGCCCTCTTAGAGCAGCCTTTTTTCTTGTTGGATGGATTTTTAGGACAATTCACCAAAGTTGTGACCTGCAAGGATATATAAGAAAACAGGAGCAAAATGTAACTTTGCCATAACATGATTAAGGAACAAATAACATTAGCAGAGTACACACAGTAGCAGGGTTTTTTATCACAGTTATAAGCACAGCAAAGTCTGTTCCCTTTTGAGTAAATAATCTAACCATAATCTAAAAATACACCTTTGATTAATTATTTTATCTTAAAGGGATTTATTCACCCAGGAGCCCTCCATTGAGTACTGGCAGCACTTCTTAGCAGCTAAGGCAGAAAGCCACTCAGAATATGTACTATTAACTTCTTTGTTTGGTAACAACAATAAATAAGCATTGCACTTTCTATACTTCTCATTTATTACCCCTTGTGTTTTGCACTGTATGGTTATTATGCATTTCATTTGTAGTATTTGTGTGTGGCTTAGCTGTAACAGAAGGTTGTTCCAACTCTGCACGGGGACTGTCTTGATCTGTCTGCAATCAAGACAGAAAAAGATCCCTTAAACTGCATAGTGAAAAAATGCATTCCAAAACTAGTGTTTCTAGGTGACATCACAACACGTATGAATGAACTCACCCTTTTGAGTATATGTGCCAACCCCTGGTCTAGATGCTCAGCTCTTTCACCACATACAGTATCCCTTCACAACAGAGTTCTTAGCATTGATGCATTAGCCAACAGACTACCTTAGCTTCCTATGTTGACAGGAACCTTGCCCATCATGCCAAACTACAGTATGTAAAACTGATTTAGTCCTCATGGGACAAACTAGTGTTAGTCAAGGTTCTTCCTTGACTAGTTTGACTAACTACAGCTAAGGTAGTCTGTTCAGCAAGAATGATGAAGCTTGACTTAGTGTTTTCCCACAGAATTACCCAATAAACCACACTTCCATTAATGTCCAGAAATGTGGCATGTTCCAACAAAAAAAAAATGTCTCCATGGGGTCTTTAGTTATAAAAAAGGCTTATGCTGCATCTATTCTTGTCACACATTTACAAAACCACCTCAGGGTGTTGGCAAATAACACATATGAATTCATCAATCGCATTACATTAGTCATTACAGTGACTAGTGACCAGGAAGGGGGAACATCACTTCGCAATTCATGGGAATTCTTGCTCTCGCCCATGGTAAGACCAGGGGTTTGCAACAACAAGGTGACTTACAGTACTTTCAAAGATTTCACAATTTTGTGCTTAATTCACAATTTGAACAGTTTTTCTATACCCTGAATGAATTTATTTTGTTTTGTCAGATGTGCATAGGCAGGCAAGATGGCTGTGTTAGCGCCACAAATATCTTTGGCCACACCTATGGATCTAGTGAGGGTGAGATGCTAGAAGCCCAGCCCAAGGAGTGCGTGCAGCTGGCTATAGCAGTGAGTCAGACTGTAACTCCAAAATCTTGAAGGTGGTGCAAAAAGAACACACTCCAGAAAAGAAGCAGGGCATATAGACATTCAGCCCGCTCACTGGCCATAGGGATTCACTGCAGTCCTTGACTCAGAATCTGAGTGTTGCCTGGTCAATTGGAAGGGTGCACCACTGACACCTGGGAGCTCATTACAGTGAAGCAGGAGCATTCCCTTCAATTCAAGCACAGCTTTCACTGCTTGGTGGGAAAAATGCACACTTTTGAGGCAGCATCCCAGGTGGCCGCTTTACTATCTCAGATCAGACTTCCAGTCTCTATTCAACCACTTGAAAAAAAACTTCAGCTCAGCTCTAATTTCTGTACATGAAAACTTTCGTCTTGGCCCTAACTCAGCTAAAAGACTAAGTGAATTACAGGCTCTGTCAGCAGCCCCTGCATACATCTTTTTCGTTAATAACAGAGCAGATGGTGTCAGTGTTCCATATGCATCAGTCAATGCAGCTGGAGGCTTTCTTTCTACCTCCCTTCACATCAGGTTTGGAGTGCCGCCTGCATACATTCTGCCCTGTCCGGGCTCCGGCATACTATGTAGAGTTAATTTCTTCTTGGAGGAAAACAGACCAACATTTTGTCTATTATGGTAAGATAAGATCACTTTATTGGACATATACAATTTCTTGTATTAGGAATTTGTCATTTCGCATACCCCAACTTGCTCTCCATGAGACACAGACACACAGACAGGGAGAGAAGCTGGGGGTCAGAGTGCAGGGTCAGCCATTTATATGGCACCCCTGGAGCAGTTGGGGTTAAGAGCCTTGCTCAGGGGCCCAACAGAGTAGGATTCCTCTGCCAGCCGTGGGATACAAACCAGCAACCTTCCAGCCACAGGCGCAGATCCTTAGCCACAGAGCCACTGCACAGCCAGTGTGGAGTAGAAGCTCAGGGCCAAGAGGTCTCTGAACACCATATGTCCCACTGGGTCACTGACATGGTTAAGACCACCTATGCAAATTTTGACCTTTCCCCTCCTCAAAGACTTACAGGATACTCAACATGGAGCCAAGCTACATCCTTTAGTTTAATCAGCGAGGCATCAGTTCAAGTCTTCCACAAAGCAGCAACATTGTTTCCGCTAACACACACATTTTCATGTTTCTGCTGGGCTAAATGTATTAGATGTCAGAAAACTATGCTTAGGAACAGGGTACTGCAAACTACATCCCAGCTAAGGAAGAAGTAAAGGTTTATTCAATGCTGAAAAGAGAAGAAAACAAACACAAGGTTTCGGCTATGGAATCTTCTTCGGGGTAAAGTGTGCTAGCTGACCTATCAGATTAAACAGTCATGAATCCCAGCACTTCTTGGTACTATTTCAATGCCTGTTTCCTTCAGGTAGTATAATCTTCACATATCACATAAAATATTCAAGATTATTAAAACAGTAAAAGGAGATATTAAACAGTTTTTGGGAAAAACATGGAGGCAAGGATGTTGTTTTAGAATCACTTTACAAATACAGTTTGCAAATGGATAGGAATGGATGTAAAGAGGTCACTCTGTACATATATACTGTATACGACTCATTTGTGTGAGTTACAGTTACTGTCAGGAATTAAATTATAAATACAGCACATAACTTTCAGCATATTAAACACTACAATCAAAATTTGAAACATTTCCAAACACCTGAATATAAAGTTGTTCCCTTGGATTTGTAAGCTGATGTTTTACATTAATTAATGAGCTGTAGGAAGTAATTAACTTGCTTTAAGAAGTTAATTTCTCTGTATACAAATGATTTTAGAACATAGGTTGAATCACTGTAATATCTTGTTACATTTTTCATCTATACATGGTAGTAATGCCATAAAGATGGAGCTTTTCTACTAATTTATTTGCTTGCTACGAGATTTTTCTGAATGTGAAATATTGTTTAGCCTTGACAAGATGTGATGGGATAGCCTTTCAGATATCTTCAAGCTTGCAGCTGAAATCAGTTTTCATGGTCTAGTTCTGTTCCTTGTATGGAGCAGTCATGGGACAGTGGAATGCCATTTGGGGATTCTTGGAATACTCTCCCTATCAAACCACTTAAGGATTTAATCTATTCTCATTATTCAACCCTTCGTTTCCATAGAGCATCAGAGTTTACATTGATTGCACAACCCAGTGCATAAATATTTTATTAATTCTGCTTAGTATCGTGTGTATTTTCTTAACTCTATGATATTTATTACCTGTTTTTAAAAACAGTTTTATGGGTGTGAGTGGGGCTTTCACTGAATTGTAACTTACAAAAAAAACGTGGAAGTTCCTTCAAGATCTATCAATTTCACATAAATAAAAGTAAAAATTGAAAACATGCATATTTCAGTATTTTGCAAATAAGTGTTATAAACTGACTAATGGAGTTTCCCCAAAGTTAATACTTACAGGTAGCAGAATTTAAAATCCCATTTACTATACCAAGTTTCCTGAAAGGTAAAAATTCTAGGATCTACCACCATAAAAGTTCCTACAAACAGACTTTTCTAGTATTTTTCCTGGAAACTTTTCCTTTTTTGTCCACTCTTACAGTTCAGTTTACTTGAAACATTCCTGAAATTGTTTATTCAAATTAAGCCACCTACTCACAACGCAGTGTAGAAACAATGCAGCTCTTTCAAATAAATCTCAACAGGAAATTTTGTTGAGCAGAAGTTATAAAAATGCAGTTCACTATTTCTTTTTTCTTTCTCTCTTTATTTAAAGAGGGTATCTAATGTTATATGCAGGCTTGACACATAATGTCCCCAGGCACCACTACTATGATAAAGAGTTTCTATCCAACAAGTCCCTCTAAAACCAAGTCTTTTGCTGAGGCTGACAGGGCATCAGTATTGCCAGAATGACCAAAAGGAGAAATACAGTGTGACTTATGTTTTGGTTACATAGAAAGCTTATGTAACTGGCCATCCAATGTCTATCCATCCACATTCTAACTGCTTTATCAAATACAGGATCACTGGGGAGCTGGCGCCTATCCCAGCAAGAAAAGGGCACAAGGCATTATCCACACTGGACGTTACACTAGTCCATCACAGCCATTTAAGGTATTTCAAGACAATTAGTGAAATAAGCACTGTGATGCTCAGAAATATTAATTGAAAAAGTATAGTACATTAAGGTAAAACCACATTCAGATCTAATATAAACATGAAACATAGCAAACAACATACAATATATGTTGTCTGGAAGAAGCCAACTTTTATACACAATTCAAGCTTCAGGAATTCCAAAAGTGTCCACATGGACTTAACAGCAGAACTTGCATGAATGAGGGAAATTCAGGAAATCTGATCAAAGGAAGCTTCTTGTGACATCTGTAAATGTAAAGTACAGTAGCTTTTCTGGTCCTGTTTGGTACTAATGTTTCAAACATGAAACACTGATAGACTCTATAGTTTTACATTTCTTCCCTACAGTAGCTCATTTAATGCATGTATTGATACATTTGGTATTTTGTATCACCTCCCTTTGTTGTGTGACAATTTATCAGAAAGAACATGTTACTAAGGTCTTGTACAAGGACAAATAATGAAAAATAACTGGACAGACTTATTGAATTGTTAAAACAAGAGAGATGTTGTTCT